CAGTGAGCGGGAACCGGTCTGTATGTGGGATCTGAACCCTTGGCGGGAGCGCTGCTGCACTTCCCAAGCGGCGCACTATAGCAGTGCGCCACCGGGCCGGCCCCTAAGCAAAATCTTAAAACTTTTGAATGTCTTTCTTGGAGAAGCACTGAGGACATGAGGAATGATTTCTTGGATATTTCTGTGCTTTAGATCACACTTAGTATTCATTAAGAACTGAGTAGGACGTAAAGGGTTCATGATTGGTGCAGTGATACAAACCACAGATAATTATGAAAGAAGGCAGAATTCCAAGGAGAGAGCCACCCAGCACTGAGAATTTAGAGGAAGGAGGAAACGTTTTACTAGAAGTGAAATGGCATTTCAACTGGCTGTTATTGAAAACTTGGGGGTTTTAGCAAGAGGCATCTTTGGCTAGCATGAAAGAAGAGGCAGAACCCTATTTGTGCAGGGCATTGCTTAACAATCAAAGGTGCACATGCTTTGCTTTGAAGGACTGTTTGAGTGTGCGTGTGCTTTAATTTGACTTTAGATTCTATTTTAAAGAGTAGAAAGCTATTTTCATTTTGACTGAGAATCCATGTATTCTCATTTTAAATGAAAACCACTGATTATACTGAGGATAGTGCCACAATACCTGTGCTCTCTGTCTCATGTTGAAACCATGGATAGGTGATTTACCTGTGAGCATATGACTTAGGGTGAAGAAAAAGGTGATCCGTCCTCCAAGTGTAAAAGGAAAATCTCCCAAAAGGAAAATGATCCCTGATTCTTTGCCTATTTAGAAGATACTAGAAATGAAACAAAATGTAGAAACATAAATTCAAGAAATGTTTGTGTGGATATGGGTGGAATTCGTGAGGTCATCTTTAGAAAAAATAATCTTTGAAATTTAATTAAAATTTGGTGATTATGCTTTTATAGGTACACCCAGAAAAATGATGGAAAGGATAAAGAACACGAATTACATCTGGATCAGTCCCTTGAAATCAGGCAAATTAAGCTGAAATTTATTTTTAATATTTTCTTATACTTTTAATACTAGAGGAAAAAAACACTAGACTTCTAAATATATTGTTGCTTATCTGTTTCTTTTAAATACTTGTTTCTATTTTCTTTAATTCTATTGTTTCTATTTCATTTTTGAATTAATATTTAAATAAATTCTTTAAACATTTTTAAGTATTTTTATTTTAAAAAGTTTCTGCTTTTATTTTCCATTGTCAGTATAAAAAATCCTGAGTTTATTGTTGTCAATTACTTCTTTTTTTCTTTCTTGAATTAACTTGGAACTAAAAATATGTATTAAAAATCTTTCTTCTCTGTTACTTGAAATATTAGTCTCAGCTATGGAATGGCAGTTTGTTGCTCTTGTTGATCTATAACTATAGGTTCGTTAAAGGATTTTTATTGTGAACCTATGAAAAGTTTCCTTTTAATCTTTATTACTGGAAGTAATATGTTTTCATATATTGGTAACCAGTATATACAACCAGTAAAGCAGTTGGATTCTGCCTTTCTCCTTTCATATTACTTCATCTGCACATTTCCATTCCTATCATAGGCCATGGTCTTCTTTTTCAGCCACCCCTGTATTAAACATTTAGTTTTGTTTCTACTTTCTACTTGTTATAAAAGTATTGCTATGAACAATTTTGTACAGGTCACTTTTTCCCTTTGATTTATTTCCTTGTAAAATGTGTCCAAATAGAATGTCTGACTCAAAGGATGAGCGATGTTTTATAAAGTTTATTAATACAAGGAGTCTTCAAAAAATTCGCAGAAAGATTCATATTATCTTTTCATTTCATTTTTCCATACTTTTTGAAGTACCCTGTATAATCAAATTTTACTCTACCCTCATAAAAATGGTGAACTGGTGTAGTGCCCTCACCTGTTTCTCAGCATTCCCACCAAATACTTTTTAATTTCATATCTTCCTTTGATGATTTGTAAAGCACAAAGAGCACATGTGAATCTGTGTATCGTATAGTAAAATTCAAGGCAAGAAGCTACTCTAGAAGATGCTGTGTAAGTCTTTTTGTGGCATGATTTCAAAGCTAACCTGGCCTGAAGTCTTTGTAATCTCACTGGTTAAATTTTTTTTCAAGTTTGTTTTCTTTAATATTTGCAGTGATACATTCACAAATGAGAAAATGAAAATAGAAGAGTGTATAAAGAAAGGGAAAGAAAATTATGAAGAGAATCATCAAAGAGCTGTGGCTGCAGAGGTCAGTTCATGACACTTGGTGACTGACAGATATGGCAGGGTGTCATTTGCTTGCTTTTATGTTTCTTTAGTACATATGTGGCATAACAACATTAATGAAAAGTGTGGAGGATAAGGGATATCTTATCACCCACCATCCTACCTCCCTAAAACAACTATTCATTTTCCTTGCCTATAGCTTTTTAATTTTTTTTACCCTTATGCTTGGGTTGTTACGTAGATGTACTCATAGTGTACACCAAATTCTGTAACCTCGTTTCCTTGTTTAGCATAATTCAGTCATTTCCCATGCTGTATACTTTGAATAGCTTTATCATATTTAAACATCTGTTGTACCGTGAAGTAGCCAATCATAAAACAAATTTGCCAATACTTTAAAAGGAACTTGAAAATAATAAACTTATTAAGAATATACTCTTCCTTCCTCCTAGAAGAATATAAACCAATGTCAGTGTACTATTTGAGAAACTGCTGAGACAAAAATCAAAATAATGATGTCTGGATATTTTTTATTTAGTTCCTAAAATGTGGTTGTTTGTGTTTTTCTAGCTGAGAAACAAATGATAGTTATTAATAAGTGTCCATGATTATTCTTGGAAAATAAGGAAAACTTAGTTTATGTAGTCTGAACACATTAGGCTTTTGAATTAAATATCAACTATGCAGCTGCTTCTAAGGATAGGAAGGAAAAAAGAGTCAAAGTATGAATATTTTGTGGTCCTACACCCACGTCTGTATTCCTGAGTTTGTTTAGTCTATGTTTACCACCATTTGGCAAGCAGGTTTGCCTGGTGGACCTCGTGAAGGTTACTGACATCTGGATTAAAACAAGGCTATTCTACATTTTCTGCAGTGATTCTCAGAAAAATGGTCAGTTGGGGCTTGCCCCGTGGCTCACTCGGGAGAGTGCAGCACTGGGAGTGCCAAGGCCACGGGTTTGGATCCTATATGGGGATGGCCGGTGTGCTCACTGGCTGAGTGTGGTGCGGACCACACCATGCCTAGAGTTGCAATCCCCTTACCGGTCAAAAAGAAAAAAAAAAAATAGCCAGTTGGCTTGTGCGGAAGCCAGTCGAAAGTTTTTTGTTTTTTTGGTTTTTTTTTCCTTTTTGTCTTTTTTACTGATGGGTAACGGGATCGCAACCCTCGGTGTTGTGCCCGCACCGCGCTCAGCCAGTGAGCGGCCGGTCTGTATGTGAGATCCGAACCCTAGGCGGGAGCGCCACCACGCTCCCAAGCGGCGCACTCTCCAGTGCGCCACCGGGCCGGCCCCAGTCGAAAGTTTTGAAAACATGCCCCAGAGGCTTCTGATGCCTGAGCTGAGAACTTCTCTGAGACTTTTTGACTGGGGAGGGTGCAGCCTCAGGACTATTCTGCAATCCTTGGACCCCCTGTTCACTGCAGACAGGGCTGAAGATAATGCATACTGGGTGTATCCATGCAGCTAATCTGGCTCTGTGTTTGTATGTGGCTTAAGCAGAAAGCCATGTGCACAGTTTCATATGTGTGAAAAGGATCACATAAGGAACATTATTTTAGTATCATTTTGTTATTCTGTTTTCAAATCCCAAAATTTTAATTTATGTTCATCTGGGTGAACTTACAGCATAATCAAGTTCTGGTGAATTCTGTCATTCTACTTCATTTAAGGGGAAACTGGAAAGTGGTTTAGTTAAGTTTTAACTTTTCAAATAGTTTCAGGTTTTCATTTGTGAAATACTTGAACATCTTTAATCTACTGCAGGTATCAGTTCTTGAAAACTGGAAGGAGATTGAAATATGTAAGTTACAGATCATTGAATCACAAGCAGAAGACTATCTTAAGAATCTTAAGCTAATGAGCAGGTAATGTGGTCTCACTGGTGTCCTTCCCAGCATGTCATTTAGGAAATAAGGTTAGAACCATCGAGAAAACTTTTTTTTATATTAGGACCATTTTATTTTTAATAGTTACACATTTGATACATGTTCAATTGTAGAAAAATCAAAACATATAAAAAATGATAAAAATCATCTGTAATTCTAAATGGAGATATAAGTAGTTAATTTTTGGGAATAAATGTATTAAGTATTTGAAAAAATGAAAATCTACATATATTTTTTTTTAACTAAATAGTATATAGGAAATGTCTTTTCATATTGATAATCACAGTTCTCCAGCCTAATTTTGAAAGGTTGAATAGTACTCCAGCATAGAGACATGTCATGATCTATCAAACCCCACTGTGGTGGGATAGTTGAGTTGTTTGTGAATTCTTGTTAATATAAAGTGCACTGCAGTGAGCATTCTTACAGTTAAATCTTTATGCACATTATTAGTTATTTCCATACAATATACTTCTGGAATGAAGGTCACATTTTTTTTTTTTTAGTTATTTTTTAAATGCAAAGGCAGCCTTTAATTTTAAATATGAAGGTGTCAAATGAAGATTGGTCAAATTTTCAAATTTGAGTAAAGAAATTAAAATTCAGGAGAATATTTGCTCTCTGCCCACTAGTTTTGGGGTTTTTTGTTATATTGGTAATTAAAATTTCCTAAAGTGTCTCTAGTAACAAGTTTGCAAGATACATAATACTTTAAAAATAGTTGATTTTTCTTGGTGTGTGATCATGTTATATGTATCTTTCTCTCTGTTTAAATGTTTCTTTTCGTTTGTACTTAAGTGCTTTTAATTTTTTTAATTTCCAGAGTGGATATTAGGCAGTTTCACATTTTTATACTTTTTCAGTGATTCTGCAGCATATCCCGACATGGAGTCTGATATTTGTTCATGGGAGTCCTTCCTTTCTAATGTTGCAAAAGAAATTGAGAAAGTAAAGGTAAGTTATAAAACATTTTATAATTCTGTCGAAATCTTTATGATGGTTAAAATTCTCAGGAGGCTGGTGTCATATTGAAACCATTTATTTTTCGTGCTGTTAATGGAAAAATATATTTTTTGTTGAAATTATTATGAATTTTTCATGAAAGTAATGATATTTTCATAACTAAGTAACTATCTTAAACTCTGGCCTTGATTGATTAGATGAGAGAAGTTGTGTTTGATAAGGCTGTATAGCATTCTGATTAACGAGGTCTTATTTTGAACTTTTTTCCTTATAAGAAATAATTGTTTTAATACCTTGTGTCTCAGTTATGTTTCTTGGAAAATTGTTGATCATTTGTAATGTATAGTCAGAAAAAGGTATTAATTGACAATTATGGTTTTCCTTTGAACTTTGTTAGAAAAACTTAACACTTTCCCTTCTACCCACAGTCTCAGTTTGAGGAACAGATTAAGGCAATAAAAAATGGTTCTCAGCTCAGTGAACTTCCTAAAGTACAGATTTCTGAACTTTCATTTACTGCCTGTAGCACAGTAAGTCTATCACGTTTTTTTTGTTGTTTTTTTTTTTTCCTGTGGAAAGAAAAAAAACATAATGAACCACATTTTTTTTCTTAACTGGCCAAAGTAGTTTATTGTTTTTCTGGGAGTGGGGATGGGATGGATTAGTAATTGCCTTACTGTTTTCATTATTGGTGCTACTGATTAACCTTTTAAGCTTTATAACATTCTTATGTAAGTACAGGGGTACTTCAAAAAGTTTGTGGAAAAATAGAATTAAAACATAATACGAATCTTTCCATGAACTTTCTCAAGTACCTTGTAGAAGACCAGTCTTTCTACATACATGTATGAGGACAGAACTGAGGTGAACACACTGCTGGTACATGTTTCTGTCACTTTCGTGTACCTTAGGCTTTGTGTACCTTAGGCTATCTCCTTCCTTTCCTGGATGGTGCGGTGAGGGGGTGTGGATTTCTATGAATAGTTCAGAAGTATCAGGTGCCTGTGATTCAAGTAGGCCCTCTCTACTCTTTACCACCTCCATTATACTCTTATTCCTAGATATTTAGGGACATTAAGACCAAAATCAAAAAATTCAGATCTGTTTCTTCATCACATACAAAATAAAAACTACTATACCTGAGACATACAGGGCTTTGTTGCTCTGGCATATTTTACTGCTAGTTTGAGGTACTTGCTCAATCTTTTGAATAATAGTAATTGCCAGGCCTTGCCTTTTTATTTTAAAATATACAGCACAGTAAAGAAAATTATTAATTGTATTTTATGGACTTTACATTATGGTTAAACCTAGTGTCACTTTATTGTATTCTAGAATACATATTTCTTAGATTTGGACACAGAGCAGATGCTCAGTAAATACTATATTGAATTAGGCCCAAAGGAGATTAGACTATAAGAATTCAAAGGACTCTGTTCAAGATTGAGTAGGGATATGTTTCAGAATGTTTGGGCACAACATTGAAATTTTCTGGTTCCTAAAGACTGAGGAAATCTTTCCCCAGCCCTTGATTTGTACTTTCCTGTTATTGCCAGACCTTTGCCTGGGCTGTTCCCCAGCCTGGAACACCATCTCATTCTCTGCATCTGGCCTTCCCTTGAAAGCCCAGTCAGGGGCTGCCTGTCTTGGCCTTCCCCTTGTGACCCTTCTATCAGGTGCATTAGGTCTCCTCAACTTAAATGGCAGGCTCCTTCAGTCAGCCTGGGGTCTTGAACATCTCTTTCTCACCAGTGCCTTGCACACCAAGCATTCAAAATTTTTGTGAATTCATCTGCAAAAGAAAAATTAAGTGTGAAAAAAAGTACTACCACCTTGAACTGAATAAAATATTCATTTGAGATCCAAAGTTTTTTCTCTCCATTGAACTAAGAAATAGAATTTTATTTAGAGTCCAATTAAAGATCATTTCTCATTTATAGTTTTTCCAAGTTCTTACAGCAGATATGGAGAGAAAAAGCTTTGGATCTCAATATAATATTTTACTATTTATATTTAATTCTAGCTTATGCAATTTTGTAAATACCCAAAAGAATTTTCATATGCAAAATCCTGGGAATGCTCAGTGTGTCAGGAGCTTAAGTAATAAATGTCCCGTAGGGTTAGAGTTACGGTTTGGGTTAGGTTAGGTTAGTAAAAATAATTTACTTTGTGTCTCATTTCTTCCTCATTCATTCATTGGGGAATTTAGTGGTGATCAAGATTAGATATAGGCTGTGCCCTCAAGGTACATATGGGCTTGGGAAAAGACAGACTTTAAACCCATAATTACAAGTAGAGTGCACTGAGGTTTCTCATAGTGGAATGCTACAGCTGCATAAATCAGAGGTCACTAACCTAATTTAGAGGTGTGGGCCTCAGCAGAAGATTCCCAGCTGGAAGGCTTATTGAGTCAGAGATCTGGAATAGGAATTTGCCAGGTGAAGGAGAGGGTGTGTGTATGAGGAGGGAAGATGTGGTGATGCTTGGAGGGTCAGGGTTCCAGATGGAGGAAACAGCATATTTGGAAGCTAGGGAAAAAAGAGAACATATTTCTTTCATGGTCATAAAAGTATGATGAGAAGGCCTATAGAAGGACCCAGGGAATTATAGAAGACCCAGGGCCAGACCCAGTGGAGCGTTATTCTGTAAGCCGAGTTAAGCAGTCTGGACTTTTCCTTAGGTCACAGGTTTCAAAGTACAGGTCTCAAGTAAGGTAATGACATCAGATTTGTACTTTATGAAGACAAATTCGACAGCAGTGTGGAGAAGTGGCAGGAGATGGACTTGAGTGGCTTCCAGTTGACCAATTATTAGCTTCCTGCCATCAGCCTAGTCCTGGATGAGGGTGTGGCAGTGGGAGTGGAGCAAAGAGAACTGACGTGAGAGGTGTTCAGTAGGTAGAGTTAGAAGAACTGTGCTGCTCCGGAGACAGGAGCGCAGCGTGCGTATGTGTTAGGAGTCGAGGGGGAGTCCCAGGCCTCTGTCGGTGAGGTGGGTACTGGGGGAAGAGCGGGCTTGTGGAGGCTGTGCTCAGGCAGGTTTCAAACACACTGAATTTGCATTGCTTTAAGATCACCCAGGTGGACTTGCAGATTTAGATCTCAAGAAAATATTCTACACTGGAAACTTTTAAAAAGTGGTTGTTAATCAGCAGTGAGCACATAGTCACTAGTCATGAGAGAATGTGAAATAGCCCTGGGAATGTGTGGCATGTGAAGAAGATTTGGGCCTCAGGCAACTTCAGAAGGAGCATCAGCACATAGGGCCTGGACAGAGGCACAAGAACTGCAAGGGGGAGCAGAGAAGAGGCCTGAGAGGTGGGGAGCCGCCGTGTCGAGCTGGAGGGGCCTGGTCTGGGAAAGAGGAGGTGACCAGCAACGCGAGGTGTCCCTGTGGCTTAGCAGGATAGAGATAGCTTTGGGGAGTGTTGGGACAACTATTTTTAATGTCAGCCACAAAGTTTAGCTGAGAAGGGGAGAAGTATGATTAGGTGGAGGCTGAAGGATGGCTGGTAGGCAGACGAAATGGTCTCATTTAGGCAGTTCTTCAAATTTTACAGAGAAAATGATGAATTACAGAGAGGTTATTTAGAAATCAGAATGCTACCCTTGTTCTAACTACTAACAAGTTATGGTTAGTAATTATTTTAAAACAAAAACATTTAATTTGTTATATTCAAGTTTCTTGTGCACTGAGCATTCAGGCTTAATTATAGTCGTGCTTAATCATCAATCTTTGTCCTTTGGTGTTTCTCCTCTTAATTCAAGGCAATCCCTGAGTGATCCAGCTACTGTGGTGTGTTTCTCACAGGTTCATCCTCAGTTACTTCCTGAGTCTTCAGGCCATGATGATCAGGGGCTGGTGACTTCTGCAAGTGATGTGACTAGAAACCAAACAACCGTTCACGAGGATTCAGGTCTCTTTTCTGCCAGAGATTTCCCAGTGGAGGCTCCTTCTGTGCTGTTGCCAGAATCACTCTCTGGTGAGCCTGAAGTTGCTGGGCTGCCAGCGCCTGGGAAGGCTGGCCAGGCAGCTCCTTCAAATCAAAGCCTCGTGGCTGACCAGAAACTACTTACTCGTTCGAACCAGTCTCCAAAAAAGCCTTTCAATAGTATTATCGAGCACCTGTCAGTGGTGTTCCCGTGTTATAGCAGGTATGAAATATGAAATGTCTGTAACTCTGTTAAATACTATATTGAACTAAGGTTTTCTGATCAGATAAAATCATGGCCAGTTAGGGGTTGATTTGGAAAGGACTGCATAGTTTTGCTCAGAAAGACAGGTGCTATATTTCTTTATTTTGTAAACAGAGAGGTGATCATTTTCAAGGAAATTTTTTAATGTGCATATCTAGATTGAAAACTTTAATCAGAACGCATGGCAGTTTGCTAAGATTTTGAGGAGATCAGAAATACTCTCCAACACAAGTTGTTATGGAATCAGTAAATGAACTGTAAAACAATAGTTTCATATCATTTAGGGAAAAAAAAATCACATACAGCAAAGAAGGCAGCAGCCTTGTTAGACAAGGCCTGCGATTCCTTAGAGGTGTGAGGCTGAAAAGACTAGATCAAATTCAGTAGTGGATAAGGCATGTGAACATACAGAAGGGATCCCGTGAGCATGGGGAAGGCTTTTCTTACCTGGGTCAGCAAGAGCTGTAAGTAGGGCCAGGCATGGTTGCAGGCATTTCAGTAATGTTTCTGCCTTCACATCTGCCTCTGCTCTATAGGTTGGTGTGAGGGCAGCAGAGGTGCCCCTTGTCTCAAGAGAAGGTGAGTTAGAGGCAGTGTCCCTCAGGTGCAGCTCAGAAGCAAGGACACCAAACAGAGGCAATGACCCTCTGCGCCTATTTTGATATTTCTGTCTCTGAGACATTGTTAATTACAGGCTTTGAAATTGAAATTTGGAAACAAAGTAGTCATTAATGTATGATTGAATTAATGTTTTACACCTATTGTGGAGCCCTGCTCATTTGAAAATATATTTTGTCTGCAAGTGGGCATATTTTGCCCTGCTTAAATTTGAGAAACGTAAGTTTTGTCAATAGCAATTGCCATGCCAGTTGTAAAAATATTCAAGTTGTATTACCAGAAGCACCCTACAAATAAAATTGTTTGCAATCCTGATTTAACAGTCACATAGAAATGTATCTTGATTTTCTGAAAGTTAAGGTAGTTGGGATATTAATGGTACAGATATCAAGTTCCTGTTTACTTAACGGCGTAACTCCCATCCAGTGGTGCTTGTGAAACATTCAGGCTTTGAACCTTGTTGGTTAGACTTTTCAAGGGAGGAAGTCCTCAAACTAGTTTCCTTTCAGATAGAAAGAGATTTTATTGATTTCAGGTTGGAAACAATGGTGTCTGATCATTCAGTGATTTTGCATGAATATCATGTATCTAGGCTGTATGAAGTCAGTTTTCTATATAGGGATGGATATCCCAAATGGATCTAGCAGATATACTCGTGCTTTTACTTTGAAATTCTTTTGAAACTGATACTTAGAAGTAATATTGAAATTTTTATAACTCCTTGGAAAGAGGGATTCTGCCTTAATATAGTTCTGCTTTTTATATATCGTTGCTAGTGTCATGTGGTCTACAAATTAATTTGTGTTTATTTATTTTGGGGGTTGGGCTATTGGGTTAATATTGGCACATACTAGTTCTTAGCAGTAGAAAACTTGACTTTCTATTGTCATTTATCACTCACTTTCCCTTTCAGCACTGAGCTTGCTGGTTTTATTAAAAAAGTACGGAACAAAAATAAGAACTCACTATCAGGATTGAGTATTGATGAAATTGTCCAAAGAGTGACAGAACACATTCTAGATGAACACAAAAAGAAAAAGGTATTTAATCCAGATAAAACAAAATATTCTACTTCATCCTTATTTATTTATAAAATATGAAAATTTTTTAAAAATGCTTCAAACCAAAATACAGACAGCAATTAACTAAAGACAGAAGATGGTCAAGCTTTTAGGTAACCGAATTTTGCTTCTTTCTCATTTCCCAATGCCTCACCTCCATTATCTCTGTAGCCACATCCAGGAAAGGACAAGAGAACCTCTGAACCCAGCTCTGCCACTTCTGTGACCAGGGTCTCCCAGGGTCCACCCTCGGTGATTGTTGGACCATCATCCAAAACCAAGGGGCAGAAAACAGAAGATGTTCCTGTGAGTGTTTAATATATAACTGTACAGTTTTGGTTTTTAATGAAGAACAAGAAGGAAATAACACTTTAAATTCATGATTTAGCACCATTCTTTTCATATCTAAACCTCATTTAATTGATCCTAAAATTAGAAACCAAATTTCTATGTATCCAGTTAGAACAGTCAGTGAGTGGCCAATTCCCCATCTCTGCTCTAATGGATGCCAGGGGCCCAGCATGGAGAGAAGCCCCTGCCCATGAGTGATAAGAGCTCTGACCATGCTAGGGGAACTGGGCCTTCTTCCTGCCCTTGTTTTGCTGCAGATGGTCAAATATGTTAACTTTTTGTATTAAGTGCAGTATTTTGAGTAGTTGGGAAAAATAGTTCCTGAATAGTTTCCTTCTGTGTAACCATGGGCTTTGGAATCACACAGACTTGGTTCCATCACTGAACACTGTGAGCCCGGGTTAGTATCTCCTCACCCAGGCTTCAGTCTGGGTTAAATGCTGCAGTGGAATGACTAGGGTCAGCACTGTAATCAAGAAAGGCTGGTTGCTGCCTTTGCCTCTCCCTCAAGCGCCTGAGAGGGCACACTGGTATAGGCTAAACTTGCCTGTAATTTGATATGCTGATTTATTTTCCTTTTAGACAATAAGGATGTTTACATTTGCATGGAAATTTTTATAAAATACTGTATTATCTATGATCTGAATTGATAAGGCATTGTAATTGGCTCATGCAGCTTGCCAGCATTTGCTTGGCCGTTTGAAGGCACGAATATAGCTCAGAGTAGGTCTTTTGACTTGTGTGTGCAGCATGTCTTTCCCCAGCCTTTACCACACTGGCTGAGGGTGGAGAGTATGTGGTTGAAAGAGAGCCTGCCACCTGTGTGGCTCACGGGAGAGGGCTCCAGATGGAATTCTGCTGTAGAGCGCTTGTCCAATTACGGTGTCAAAGTGTAGATGACGCTGACATTAGGAGAGTTGTAGACCACGTAACTTTCTCAGCAGGGAATCAGCAATACAGAATTGTACAGAGTACTAGTTTAACTTGAGCTAGCATTGAGTCTTCTAGTGAATTTAGGTTTTTATTCCTTTTTTTTTTTTTTTGTCCTTTTTGAGACCGGCCACACCGCGCTCAGCCAGTGAGCGCTATGAGCGAACCGGTCATCCCTATATAGGATCCAAACCTGCGGCGGCACTCTCCCAGCGCCACACTCTCCCGAGTGCGCCATNGGCCACACCGCGCTCAGCCAGTGAGCGCTGTGAGCGAACCGGTCATCCCTATATAGGATCCAAACCTGCGGCGGCACTCTCCCAGCGCCACACTCTCCCGAGTGCGCCACGGGCTCGGCCCTATTCCTCTTGTACATTTTCACTTTCCACTACCCTTTGGAGATTTTACACACCACATACGCTCAGCTCCCAGAGCATCTCATCCCCACCCTCACTCCAGTGAGAGAGCTTATGAGCATGCAGGGCATTTCTGCAAGACAGGCTGGAGTCCCCCGCAGGGGGTTCCCTGAGGGGTTACATGCTCTGTGATTCTCCAACCAGGGCATTCTCATTCTCGTGCATGCATGCCTGCATGCGTGCGTGCGTGCGTGTGTGCGTGCGTGTGTGTGTCTGTGTGTGTGTGTGTTACTGACCACCTAATCACCTGGAGAAGAGAGATCTTATTCTGTTTCACTGTTGATGCTGATGATAATTAAGATGTAAAAGCTGACTTATTTAAACTTTACCAATTATATGAGAAAGAAAAATAGGTATTCAAACTGGGACTTAATTTGGTAATGATGGGTGGTTTTTAAAAAATTAAGAGTAGTGTGTTTTATATTTTTAAATTACAAAAGTAATACCTGCTCACAATAGAAAATACAAATAAAAAGGGCACTTAAAAGACCCCAGAACTCACCCCATCACCAGTATTATCACATTGGTATGTATTTTTCTAAACTCATTTGTATACATATATGTGTGAATTTAGTCAAAGCTGAATACTTTATTTATACTTTTCGTATCCATTTTTGGTGGGGGGTGGATTTTGTTTTGTTTTCTCTTCCATATTTTTTTAAATTGTGGTTGTCATTTTTTTTTAACTTAGAAATATACTGTGCTCATCTTTCCAAGCTAGGCAACAGTCAAGTTAAAGTCAAGTTAACTGTACATTTTCAAGCTGAACCTACCTGCGAGCTTTGTAGAGAGTGTTGGAGAGGACTTAACCTGCCCTTCCCCAGGGCCGATGCCTCCTTTCTTTGATGACCCTTGAGTCAGGGCAGCAGGCGAGGAATATAAACCACTCTTCTACTGCATCTGCCCCATCTCCTCTGCCTGGGCCACATCATGCTTTGGGAAAGAAAGCGAAACCTCATACAGCAGCAGCTGAACTTCATCCCACAGCCAGGACTATCTGGAGCGTGGGTTTGGGGCAGGGACACAGATAAACAGGACTCATTTCCTGTCTTCAAGGTGCTCAGCATTAAGAGGAGAGTTAGAGTAGAAATTGATGGTGCAACGTGGGGTGCACTCTGCGAGCTGCAGGGAGAGCTCTGTGCCTGGCATCCTCGATGGCACTCGGGTCTGCCCTCACATAGAAAATACTGTCTGTGCTCACCAGACTGTGAGCTGCTGCAGGCTGGAAACCTTCCGTTCATCTCTGTATCCAGTGCCTCATACAATCCCTGACCATGGACGTTTGCTGGACGAGCCATCAGTTTGTTTTGTTTTGATTTGTACAACTAATCCATGTTCATAGAAACTTTAGAAATTGTAAAGAAAAAAATTAAATCTCCCTTAACCAAGGGCAACCACTTTTAACATTTTATGTGTCTTCCCAGACTCTCTCCTAGGCATCTCTGTATACAGACATTCTCTTTATTTTTAAAAAATTTAATTTTGTGATACTGTTTTATAACATGCTTTTATTCCATGGTCTGTCGTGACCATCCTTTTGTGTCAGGGATTATGAACTCCCATCAGGATTTTAATTGCCCACACAGTAGTCCATTGTATGGATGTGTCATAATTTACTATGTCCAACTGTGAGATAATTAGATGAATGATTAAGTTGTAATATTAAGCCAGTACCATACTTTAGATATAGTATGGGATAAATAGGCATTTGTGGTATTTCACTTGGGAATCTGTTAGCCATATAAAAGTTTTTTCTCTGAGAAAATTAAAACTTCAAAAATATACTTTTCTTTTTGCATTTTATATTTTTCTTAAGAAATGCTATTAAAAAATAACTTGTTTCCTTAGTTTGCTTAGCTGTAACTGGGAATAGTTTTCCAGCCTTTGTGGCAAAAATATTTGAAGGCCACTTGTAGGAAGAGATCATGTTGTAAAAAGAAATTTAGTTGTTCTTTATTACTCAGATACATTTGTTTCCACAGGCATCAGGTGCAAATTCTTGTGAAATATGTCATGAGGTATTCAAATCAAAAAATGTGCGAGTGCTAAACTGTGGGCACAAGTTTCACAAAGGGGTAAGGATTATTTGGCCACCTTTATATCATGTGCTGTGACTATCAAGTATTTTGAAAATAAAAAAGGAATTTCTTTTTTTCTAAGCATTGGTACTTCCTGTGTTTTCAAGTCATTTTCTTTGTAAACCTTCCTATGTCAATATTCATTGTCTTTCTTTCCAAAGACTGGGGCTGTGAGAAGGGGGATGGGGTTCCTGGGCCCTGGTTTGTGTGTAGCTCTGCAGACTGTCCTTTGTGTTTATCATGTCATGGGCAGAGAACAGTCAACTCCATCAGCTGTAATGATGCTGAGATTCAAAGCAATATTACTTCCTTGAAAGGTGGTTTCTCACACACATGACTAAATGGATAAACAGTGCAACAGTTTGTCAGTTTAGTGTAGTATATGAAGTTGGTTTAACATTTTAAAGGAGAAAACGTAAACCTAGCTGGGTCCCTTGTGCCTAATGCTGGGAGATTCTGGCTTGTAGCCTTCCAAGATTCATGTGATAACTATCTTGGTGTTCTGGGTACTGTCAGCATTTGTCCTGTACCCCTGCTGCTGGGTTAGAACAGCAGGTCTCTGTCATTGTTGACTTACTCCTGGGAAAGGGATAAATACAGCATACCCACTAGAAAGACTCAAGACAGCTTGCAGAGTCTCTTTTGTATGGTTTGCCTCCTTTGGGTATGGGGTCTTGTGCCTGAGCTCTCCAGCTTTCCACGTACACCTGCCACGAGGGCAGTGGCACACAAGCCAGGAGCAACTGAGAACACAGCGGGCAGAGCGGCTCTGTTCATGGCTGTGGTGTGCAGCCTCGTGGGATGTGTGAGGACCAAGAGCCAAGTCCTGGAAGAAGGATGGGTTAAGAATCAGGTGATTGGGTCTGAGGGCCAAGAAAATGCCAGCCTCTAAACGTCAGGGTAGCTGCAGCTGAAGAGCTGAGACTGGACCCAAGGTATGGGGGCAGGGTAAGGCCAGGTAAGAGGCTTAGAGTATTCACAAATCTCATTCTGAAGCAGCTTTATTTGCTCTGGGGGTTTGCCCACGCTTCTGGCCTGACCAGGTATCGGTGTCCCCAAGTATGGTTCAGGCCCCACCAGCTTCAGGCCCCACCAGACTTTGAGATGAAGTTAGCCAGGCCTGCCAAGGAGTCCAGTGGTGGAGAGCGAAGGTCCCATGTGCTCCTGAGTCACTGACTTATTCTATTCCCTCCTTTTCAGTGCTTTAAGCAATGGCTTAAAGGGCAGAGCACCTGCCCAGCTTGCTGTGACCGTGATCTCCTGTCAGAAGAGTAGTCTGCACCTTCTGGAAGAAGCCAGCCTAGTGAAAATTGGGAACCACCTTTCTGCTACTCTAGGTAGTCACACTTCACCAAAACAAAATTTACCAGCGTGTTGAATTGGAAGAACAACAATATACTACCTTTGGTATAAAAAGCAAACATTTGAAGACTCTCTTGCATTGTTTGTATAAAGTTAATAAATGGAAATCTTTAATACAGTTGATATAAAGTAATTTCCCTTCTCTGATCAAATACTATGATGATAGCCAAGTAGTGGCTAATAAAATGATGTGTAACTACATTCTTACATTGCTGGGGCTGCTTCAGAGGGACTCTCTGATATGGGTGGCATCTTTTGGGGAGTATTGTGAGCGCCTCAAAGCAGCACTTGAATTATAAGAATTTTTAATCTGTTCACGTGCCCCAGTTTCCCCTTTTGGGTTTGAAAAATCTGTTCTAAAAGCTCCACAAGAGAGATACTGACCTTTTAAAATTTTTCTGAAATTCAGCATTTCTGAAAATATGCCTACATTTTCCTCAAAGATTCTGCATTTTTAAAAAATGGGCTTAAAGCAAACCACATTTTAACAATTTATAGGTAATATTAAATATTGGCTGATTTAGACCAAAAGATTAAAATCTCCTCTTCCTGAAACACCATGTGCTTTTAATTTTTCATTTCATTGTTTTATTTTCCCCCATAGATTTTTTAAGTGCTTATTACTTCTTATCTTTTAAAGATGTGATCAGATTTTTGAAAATCACTTACAAAATCCCTTTTTATTAGGATCAGCCAAAACTTTTTTACCCCCTAGAATTGAGGCAATGTGTTCATCATACCAGCCCCACATTTGGAACTTACTCTTTGAATAGTCTCTTCTTCTCACTAGTAGCATTTGTTGTCTTTATGAGTCAGTCCACAAGTGCTTTGAGATCCACATCTAGCAAAGTGCTGAGCACAGGACAAGCACTGTGTGGAAACAGTCACCATCATTCGCCTTCCTCATCCCACCACCAAAAAGAGAAGCCTGTGTAATTAGACAATCCTGAGATGTCCGTGGTACAGTTGTTCTGTGTTTGACATTTGTGTAAAGTAGTGCATGCAACCTTGTACTGTGGCCTGAGAACAAAACTGTAACTGCATTAGAAACTTTAAAAACTAGGTATCTTTCAGTGACTTATAGACAGTGGTCAATATAGAAACATGAATTCTGGACACATTCCATTTCTGCCAAACATGAAGGATCAAAAAATGTTTTTCAATGTGTTCTTTGTTCTACTGCAAACTTGGAGTCATGAGTGTAATGAGCTGATTTGGTCACCTTCCTGCCTCTGTTCAGTGTGAGTTTTGATGTCTTATGACTTAGTCCCTAAACGCTCACTCCTTATTTTGAAACATTCTCTGTGGTGGTCTTTAAAACATGGTCTGCGTATTCATACTGATTGAGAGCTGTAGGTATGAAAATACACAGAGACCAGTTTGTAGCAACAGGTACAAAGGAGAAGAGCAGCTGTCAAGTGAGAGGACATTATTCTGTACATAACTTCACATTCTTGTGAACATGCCTTATATTTGTCCACTAACTGTCAGAATAAAGAGCATTCTAAAATAGTAGCAGTTGACTGTCATTCTTGCTCATTCTTTCTCAGATAATTTAAAAAATGCATCCTACTTGAAAACTCAGGACACGTATGTTATGCTAACATTTATTTATTTATTTTTTTTCCTTTTTTTTTTGTCTTTTTTCGTGTCCGGCAACGGATCGCAACCCTCAGTGTCGCACCCGTACCGGACCGGGACCGGCAACGGGATTGCAACCCTCGGTGTTGCGCCCGCACCTCGCTCAGCCAGCGAGCGGGAACCGGTCTGTATGTGGGATCCGAACCCTCGGTGGGAGCGCCACCGCGCTCCCAAGCAGCGCACTGTAGCAGTGCGCCACCGGGCTGGCCCTATGCTAACATTTAAAAGGCGACTTCATTTGGAAAGAGTAGCTGTGCTGTGTCTGAGGAGTCTCACAAAAGTATCTTAGGGCACTTGAGAGCCTGTATCAAAACATTCCTTCGTGCCTGAACAAAGACTACCAAACTCAGTTTCACAAGATTGACTATTTAAGTTTGTGAATGGAAAGTTTATATAGAGATGATAGAGAGTTTACTGTTTTAGGCTAAATTAAGAGATTTTTCAGGTGACTACATTTAAAGATGTTGAAAATAAATTACATTCCTCAGTATCTTTTTTAATCTTGAGGTATTTGTAGATTCATGGACAATTAAGGTTGATTGGTAGGGTTTCCTTTTTAGTGGACCTTCTGGGTACACTGAGCACTAAAAGATTATTGAAGAAAGCAAATTTTAAAAATCTGTCTTCTGATTATTTAAGTCTATTTAAAATATCAGTACGTTTTAAATCTGATAGCATTTAATTCAAAATAACGTATAACTTAAAGCAAAGACTTAAGAATTTAGATTATTTTTTTCCTGCCAAACTGTTTAATCTATGTTAATGGATAATTGTTACAGATAATCCAATACAAAATTGAATCGTGCCCCAGCAATGCAAAATTTTACTACATTTTAAAGTTAATTTCAAAGAGTACTTCAAAAAGTTTGTGGAAAAACTGAATTAAAAGATCTTTCCATGACCTTCTTGAAGTACCCTCATACACAGTGGAGGCAGTGGCCAAAGTGATTAACACACCACAAACTGAAGCAGTAAAACCATTTTAGAGTAGTCCTTCGATCAGATGATCTTCTCTGGAGAAAAGGATTAAAGGCAACGAAAGGGACAGTAGCAAAGGTGGAAATTGTTGTCATCAGCACATGGTACTTACTGCTGAGGCTGACAAAGCAAAGGCAGTGAAGCGGTAGGATGGTGTCAGAGTGAGGACCAAAGACATCACCAACATGACCCCTCGTGAAAGAAACGAGAAGGGTATTTAAGTGTTTTAAACACTGTGCAACAAACTTGATTAAAGAATCATTGTAAAAAGAATTGGTCATCAGTTTTGTCTAGTTCCTTTGTATTTTCTCCTCTTCATTCTGACATGATCGACTAAGACATGTCCGTTTAGCCATATCCAGAAGGATGGGCAAAGTCTGCTGTGGAAACCAGTGAAAACTGGAAACCATTCATTCAACAAAAGTTTATTGAGTACCTACTACATGCTAGCCACCAGGCTAGACGTTTTGATACAGCAGTAAGCAAGAGACAAGGACCCCATGAAATTTCTTTCAATTAAGTGGACAAATATATGAGTAGTTGAGTAGTTTCAGGAGGTGAGAAGGGCTTTGAAGGAGAAGCAAGGAAGGTATGTAGATTAATAAAATTCTTGTAAAGTGCATAGCTAACCCTTTGTTATTAAAATGAAGGGCCTGGGAGAGAATTTGATGGTACTGTAAGAAAGGCTTTGTTAGATTAAAAAGGAGCATTTTTTAAGTATAGCCTAGACTGTGGAACGCAATCAAATGGTGAAAAGAGCAGAAGGAAATCAAATCACCTCAAAGTCATTTTGAAATACAACAGCTTTCTTCTTGAAATCTCCCTGAATTAACTTCGGGGATACTGTGATTCTGCAGTAAAAGGATAATTTCACCTGTAGTTTTCCCAAATTACCTGAATGGTGAAATACAACAGCTTTCTTCTTGAAATCTCCCTGAATTAACTTCGGGGATACTGTGATTCTACAGTAAAAGGATAATTTCACCTGTAGTTTTCCCAAATTACCTGAATGAGCAGTTTTGAGTCAGCCTTTCCTATCCAGTTTGGGTTTAGAATCAGAGCCCTGTGGCTCACTTGGAAGATTTACACTGGAGCCTTGGAGGGGCCTGGACTGAGCTAGCCCTAGTGGAAAATTATGGTGTGTAGTCCAGACTTCCCGGTTTAGGGTGAGAGCTGTTCTCATACATTCCCCTATCACTTTCACTGTGCAGAAATTCAACACTAGCAAACTACAGAATCCTAATGAGTCAACCAACCATCAATCAAGTCCGATCGAGTGGCCAAGTCAGAAAAAGACTTTTAGCTACATGAAGGAGAATAATTTTGGATGTTTATTGTGCAGTATACACATGTATTGAAACATCACACTGTACCCCACAAAAGTAAAATTGAAAAAAAAATTTTGGATATCCATATGGGAAAAAAAGGAACCTTGATGTCTCACAACATTCACAAGCATCAATTCCAAGTGGGTCATAGTCCTAAATATGAAAAATGAAATAATGCAGCCTCTACAAGAAAACAGTCTTCCTGCCATTGGCATAGGCAAAGATTTATTAGGAAACAAAAAGCCCAAATCATAAGAATAAAAAACTTTTGACAGTCAAATTTGCTCAATATCCATCATCAAGGAAATGTAAATTAAAACCTTACTAGAGAGGTGGTGTAAGTTGTCTTGAAGTTGCCTGGTACTGGCAAGTAGACCATCTACTCTGCAAGGACCTAGTTTACCACTTTCCACGGCACAGATGAGTGTCAGCTGCTGGAGTCCACTCCAGCTGGCCTCAGTAATGAGCCAATTGTTAAATGTCCAGGAATTTTGTGAGCCAACTATCAAACACAACTGCTATTAGAATTATGTACACATATTTTTAAAAAATAATTACTTCCTGATTACTATGCCTTTATTATCTGTGCTCTTGGGGCTGTTGATGTATATACTATCTTTACGGTGGGTCAAACTACCAGTGTGACAACACCAAACACAGAGTTGAAATCAGCTGTGATGGGAGAATTTACACCACGGAAATGGGCAGATGCTACATAACAGGGCTTTTGCCCCACTGGAGAATATGGTGAAGCCTGAAGTTTTGTCTGTAGGAGAAATAGCTGGTTTGGTGCTAAAGGGGCTCTTTATGACTTTCTCATTTCACATTTGAAGTGGTGACTGGGGGACTTTAACAGACCCTCCTCAGGTGATTTCTGCTGAATGAGCTCCTTCCCACTGCTCTCTGTTGGCGAGGGTCCTAACCCCCCAGCCCCTCCTGGCCTTGGCCCTTTGCACCCTCCTGGAAAGAGGACACCGCTCACCGCAGTGGGGCCCAAAGTCTGTCACTGAGTCAGCCTCTTCATTCTTTGGGAGCCACTCCCAGTAGCAACTGTGATCCCCCTACACTGGGCCCTGCCACATGTTGTCCTCTGCTGAAAACCAAGGCAGTCACCCTTCCTGCGTCTGGTGAAGCCCTGCCCGAGAAGGTGCAGGTAAATCCAAAGCAGGTGTGCCACAGGAGTGCCAAACAAAGAACCAACATGCAGACAGCACCAAGCCAGAGGCGACTCCTCTTACCTCCGTGCAGGGAGGACAGAGTTCGAGTCTGGGCCAGTTCCAACCTTGCCAAGAGAGCCTTCAAAATGCAACGCTTGTGAATCACTGGGTTTCTGTGGCAGGGCATTTCAAAGAGAAGATCTTGCTCTTTCTAACGTGTTTTTGTGTCAAACAGAGCTGTCATTGTTTTCAGCAATACCTTGAGACTCAAGTGAATAAATTCCATTCTGTTTTCTAACTTTTTTCTCCCCTCCATTTTTCAAAAGTTATGTCCTACGGCATTTTGCCTAATTCCTTCAGTCCTCTATTTCAGCTTCTATTTATTTGGTGTGATTAAAAGGTCTTAATATAGATCTCTTACCACAAGTTCCAAGAAATCTGTCACCAGTTCCAAGATTCGTGTCCTGAAGTGTCACCCCATTCCAGGGTGGTGAGCCAACAGCTTCTGAAAAAAAACAGCAAGTGAACAGATCTACATTGTTGTCCAGACACTGGCCGCAGCCCCACCGCCCACGGGGCTCCAGCTTTCACTGGAGCCTTGTTGCAGGCCACACTGCTTTTGCTTCAGTTTTAAAATGACCACAACCTCTAAACTGCCAGACCTTTGAAAGCTGAGGCACAGCACTAGCTACACCCCTTCCTTGTATCAAATCAAACCCTGTCACCTGGGCCTTCATGAAACTGCTAGGCCACGGTCTCCTCTCCCCCTTCCTCTCCTGGGGAAAGGGGCCTGGGGCCCTCAACCTCATCCCCACCCCTTCTCGCCTTCACTCCTTCCAGGGCCCCGGTGCCTCCAGCTGTTCTCTCTGCGAGTGAGCCGTGTGGCCCTGTTCACCTTGACAGGCTGCTGAACTCTAATATATCCACTGTTAACCTACTCATTCATTCATTCATTCATTCCTCGAATCTGCCATGGGCAGGCACTGTTGTAGGTGCAGGGAGTTCAACAGGGAATGGAGGAGATGAACGGCCGCAACGCTCTGCTAGGGAAGACTGGTGTCAACTTTGATAGTAAAATACAGGTATGTCACTGGTAAGCCTGAGAAGTAAAGCCGGGAAGAGGATGAGGGTGTGCTTATGGGGGTGGGGGTGGGCACAATTTTAGACAGAGGCCAGGAAAGGGAACGTTTCAGTGCAACAGGAAGGAGGAGAGGGAGATGTGGAGAAGAGCAGGCAGTCGGGCAGCGGGGAGCAGGAGCAGAGCCTGCCCACAGTGGGCCGGCTGGGGGGACCTCTGAGGCCAGCACTACCCTTTGGTCTGGTGCACTGTGCAGAGGTGAGGGCTCTAGGGGAGGGTTCAGGGTGCACAGGGTGGGAGGTGGGGGGGCAGACAGTAGAGCTTTCTTTTTTT